TGTGTGTGTGTGTGTGTGTGTGTTAGTTTTAGATGAGCATGGACTTTCCACTTCACGTGTTGTCCTACACAATGAGGGTGAAGGAGAGCAGAAACCACAAGGGCCTTGGTTTGCTGACTGCATAAGTAATGAACTGAAGCCGTTCAAGCTTACTGTCTTATCGGCTAAATCCATGGGAGTGTGGTGAACCTATCTATCTAGCTACTGCTTAGGAACTGTCGTAGACTACATGGTCCTTAATTCCTTATCATTTAAGGAACTCATACAAATCAGTAACCAAAAAAGAATACACATCAAAAAGGAGAAAAAATTATGGAAGTCAAATTTTAAAATAAAAGTGGAGAATATCTAAAATTATATCTGATCTAATAATTGTCCAATAAATTATTCTAATACAGGCATTACAATAGGCAAATAGACATGTCCCCCAAAATATACACCACTAGGCTTAGTTTGGGGCAGCCATCTACACTTGGATAGAATTTGTGTCATTCCAAACTTGAAGAGTATTCAGCTGGTTTAATGAAATCAGCATAATCTCTCTGCCCTAGTAAATCCAATTAGGCTCCAAATCATGCAGTGAGCAAGCTCTGAAGTCAGCCCGGCGGGACATGAGACTCAGAAGAAGCGGTCTGGGGAAGGAGGTGCCACTGCTCCCCAAACCAGCCGCTGCAGAGCAGGAGCCCATGACTGAAGCTTGGAGTCAGGAGAATCCTTTAAGTACAGTTCTTTTTCTTGCCCCCAATGATCCTGGCATTCAGTCCGGTAGACCCCTGTACCAGTGATTGTCAGACACCTTAAGATGGGTGCCTTCTGGTTCCACAGGTCTCAGCTAGTGAAAAACTGCCCATGTGCCTTCAATACCTTAACTACATTTCCTTTTATTTAAAATTTTCATATTGGGAATATGTGTTTGGAAACATTAATCTGTCATCTATGTGAATGTGCCTCCCTTGAGAATATTCCTGTCTGAATTTTCTTTCAGTAAACCCTCCCTCCCATCAGAGCTCATTGAAAATATTCGGGTTTCTTCCGTTGGGAAGAGTCAACCCTTTGGGAATGATGCTGTGTCCATTTCCTCTCGGCTTCTCTGCAGCTACAATGTTTCCTGCAAGACACCCATTTGCTTCCGTTTCTCTGAACTGCAGATATTTTGAATGAAACCTGTTTAGACCAGCAGTTCTCAACCTGT